TGTTTGATTAAATTTGTGGAGCTTTTCTTTACAAGAATTTATATTTAACCAAAGAACATATTAATGGTGAGTTAGAAGCATATATTGCAGTCAAGAATGTTATATGAGTGTCCCATGGGCGTTTTATTTATTTATTTTTATTTCTTCACATTTCTAGTTATATTTTCTAATTTTCAAGTTTGTTGAATCATTCACAGTAGTTCGACATTGAAATTACTAGTGCTATAGTCTATTTGTATTTGTTTTGATTTTAGAGGTAACCAAGTTCGTAGATAATACTTTGATCTATATTTTTTTGGTTGACAATGATATGATTATTTTTTTCTATTTTGATATCAATTATATTTTAATAATTGTATGTTGAAGTGTGCTCTTCATAAAGTCATGAGTTATTTCTACTTAAGTTACATTTTCATATAAATGTGCACCACAATAACAATTCCATTGCGATGAAAGAAATCGAAAATTATGTGTTTAAAATAGAATCTCCAACATACATAAATAAAAATAGAATCAATTAGGTGACAATTATATATCGTTGAAGTGACAAATCCTTAGTGTTGCTTATTAAATTTAACTACGAGCACAACTTGACACATAAATAAAAGTTCATTGTCACAAAATATTTTGTGTAATAATATTATATATCGTAAAATAAAATATATGGCCTTATTTTCGACTGTCATGTGTATCTCAAAGATACATCTCATCCTTAACAGACTCATGTTCCTAAGCTTATTATTAAGAACACGTATAGTCGATTGTGAGTCTAGGATAACCTATATTTGGTTATCTACATGTCCAAAGCTTATATATGTTAAAAGTACCAACATTGAGAGAACTCCATTAAATGATAGGTTGCAGTTAGTCAAACACGTAAACTAGATTGTACTATCTCAAGCCTTATCACATGCAATAAACCATATAATTACTGGTGATTAAAGAATAGTTAATCCAATAAGAATTTTTCTTTCATCACCTAGATCACTAAACTCTCGTGATGGAGATTCACGATATGTGCTACAATATTTTCTCCATTTCTTAGAGCATATGTCATATTTTTTTTATAAACAAATAATATCATATAGCTTCTAGTTTAGGTATTTCCCATTATCTAATTTGAGTTCTCCTTATGTTCATTCCGCTAGATAATCTCAAATCCAGAACTCGATCTGGACACTGAACAGGTTTAATGTATTGCAAAATCCATTTCGATTACTTATTGTAATCTCATCTTGATATTCATGAAGACGACTAGATCATGTACATAATTTGATTGCTTTGTCTTATCTCAGTACACCAAAAGTATCTAAGGGATTATTCGTATGAGAGAACCAATCTCTACTTGTTCGGCATACTTTATATGTGCATGCAAATCATTATCTCATAATCTTAACATTAGATTACATATGAACTTAAATGTGTTCATTTATGGGCATGCTAAACTCAATCAAGAGTATTTCTTATTCTATGCAATTTTAGAGATCCTATATTAACAACAAGTATACCTCTAAATATCTTCAAAGTATAATGATTACATATCATCATTTACGTATATCATATAAAGATCAGAACTTCGTCAAGTACAAGTAAAGATAGATTCTAATGCTTGGGCATTTGAATTGTTAAGTTTTGTTATAGATGATTTTTTCTCGAATGTAGAAGCTCCAAAAAAAGAAAATGAGTCCAACTCAGGTCAAACTGATTCCTGGAAATAGTTATCAGAAGATGGATCTCGACAATGAATAAAGGCAAGTAGTTGGCCATAACTCAGATAAATTTTCTAGCATTGTTGGAGCCATGGTACGAGAACATGTGCCTGATATAATTAAAGATTGGCATTTGGTTGATGGGAAGAAAAAAATGGAACTTTGAAATTTCGTATAGGTATATTTCTTAACTACCATTTAGGATTATTAAGCTATATTCTTTTCGGGCTTTAATTTATTTTTGCATACAAGTACAACAAAGGTTCAATGCGAGTAATTTTCATAAAAAATAACAATTCAATGTATGGGAAAGTTTTGGAGGACGTTTAGGTCAAGGCTGAGAAAACAAATTAGAACGCAAGTCGAATCATCCGTGAATAGAGCACGCATTGTGGCCTTCTTAGACCGAAGAATGTTAAATATGAAGAAGCAGGGGAAAATTTTGTCAAGGATATGCTTTCGACTGAATTTCGTGCAAGTATATTTGCGTACAGGGTTTCCACTTTTTATAATTATTGTACATTGATACATTTTGGTTTCCATAATAGGAAAAAAGTTCCAAGTTTAGCAACATGAGAACATCTCAAAAGCTTGTCCACACCATGGGTCGAAAGGGTTATCCATGCATTGCTCATGAAATGGTAAAATTACAGATATATACTACTTCTTTGAATTGTCCCACTCTAGTATATGTAATTACCAGATTTTTATTGTAGAGAAAAAAATCTAGATATAAAAGGATTGAGAACTTGAGTCTAGACTCATGGACATCTTAGAAAAGATGGAAAATCGATAAATGAAGCAGTTACCGACACTTTGGTATGTGTATTATATTCAATGTTCAACTAAGAGTAATTTGATTTATTATATGTACCACTTGGTAATATTAAATGTTGAGTTCTATGACTACAGAAAAGGATTGAAGAGTGCACCCAATCAATTTATGATACATGCCATTTGTGATGATGTTGTTACTCGAGTCTTAGGTCCCGAGCGTCATGGAAGAGTTAGAGGAGTTGGACTTAGAGTTGCACCATCAAAAGTGGATGAACAAATTCAAAGTAATGTGAGAGTTAGAGAACTTCAAAGTCAACTACAAACTCAGTCAGAAATGATAGGAGTGTTAGAAGAAAAGGTTGAAGCACTTCTCAAACTATCTCAACATGTTATAATCTTTTACCATTATATATACAGTGGTAACAATGCTTAATATAGTCAATTACATGTAAATTTACTTTTCATGATTTTTGTATCATCTTACAGAATATGGAGGATATAAGTTCACGTGCTTTTACTCCTCATGTTTTTGTATCCTATATTATTAAATGTTTATTCAATATAAATCTCAAATTTTATATAAATCTAATTAAAAAAGTATTTTTTTTTTTACTGTGAATTTTTTAGTCACACCAAGGTACTACACATCTAGAAATGCAAGGTGTCAACTATTGCATAGATACATATTTGAGGAGGAAGAAATTGTTGAGGAAAGGGAAGATTGCAACAACAAACCCAAGTGCAAAGGTGCATCACTTGCCACTTGGACAAAAATGTTGGAAGGTTTGGATTGAGGAAGTGTATATGGATAATTTGACCTTATATAGACCTTCACATGAACTTCAAACTCTTAGTGAAGCCATGAGAAGTATTGTTGCTTGGCAAAAGAGTAATATTAGACTTAATTGATAAATGTATGTTTCGTGGACGAATTACATATATGTACGAATGTATTTCCATTTTCAAAATCAATTATAGTTCTATTTCCATATATGAGTTATGAATCAAACTTTGCTATCATTTCATCGATTTCAATGTTTGGCTCTATTAATCTGGTTGATATACTTAGAGAAACAAGACATGATTATATCTCATTTTCCTTCAAGGTAAAACAAAGCAAATCCGCTACATTTGTACAAGGCAGGGCGAATTCTGTTAGTATGTTACTAGTGCAAGAAGAAATATTACGTCTGAGATATATTTTGTATTTTGTATGGTTAAAAATATGTAATGAAGTTTTAATCTCAATTTCATGCACTAGGCAATTCGATGAAATGGAGATGCAACAAGAAGATGACATTAATTTTCATTTTGTATTTTTTATGGGTTAAAAATATTTAATGAAATTTTAATTTCAGTTTATGCACTATTTTTAATTCGTTGCTAAATTTACATATTTTAGTATAGAAATTTCAAACAATCTTTAAATATATTGTTATAAAAACAGGTGAAATATTAAAAAGTAGCAAAAAAAATAAAATTGTAAATTAATTAGCGAAATGACAACGTTTTTAAAACGTCGCTAAAATGTTTTTAGCAACATTTCTAAAAATGTTGCAATAGATTATTTGCAACGTTAAACATTGCAATTATTGCAAATAATCTATTGTAATGTTTTTATAAGCGTTGCTAAAGAGTTTTCGCAACACTTTAAAAACGTCGCAAATACCACATTTTACAACGTTTTAAAAACCTAATGTGGTATTTGCAACGTTTTTAAAACGTTGCTGTATCCAGCCACTTTACAGTAACATCAATGTTTGCAACTCACGTCCAAACATTGCAAAAGGTCGTTAGCAACGTTTTTTGAATGTTGAAAATGACTTTTTGTTGTTGTAGTGTTCATAGGTGTGTCACCTCTTTATTCTTAGATGAGATGGCATTTAACGATTCTGAAAGTAGCCACCCATGGCCTAGGCCAGACATATGACAAGTAGATTGATTTATCTGTGAGACATCTTCTATAAAGATGTTAAATAGAAGATCTCGACGAAAAGATCTCTTGAATGAGGCGAAGTTACATAAGCACCTTTCGAATCAAAAAGCTTATCGCTTCGGAAATGGTTGTAGTAGATCGTGGTACCTCGCCTCGGTCATGGAGGTTTGGCCTCTACATGTCGTTTTGGCTTAGTTGAAGGCATTATTCAACTTCCTTTATTTGATGGTCTAATGTAGAGTATGAGCCTTAGGTGTATTCTTACTGTTTTCCTAACTGGCTGTCATGTACCCAATAATATGAGTCTTGTAAGATGAGGCATAGCAAAATGATTTATGACATGTACTATAAGGATGACTCTACAAGCTTGGTTGGAGACGGTGAATTTTGGAAGGTGCAAGTACACCACAATGCCTTTCCTTTTCTTTTTTTTTTCTTTTTTTTTTTTTTTAATAATTTTTAATCGGTTTACAATTGTAAAATGGTAGTGGTGCATTTATTAAATTATGTTCTAATTAAGGTGCATTTATCATAAAATTTGTGGAACAATATATTTACCCTTCTTAAAATTACCTAAGTGAAAAAAATGATATTGTATCAAATTTCCACTGAAAATTGCATATTTTAAATAATTATGCAACGAATACACTTTATTTTCATTAATAGTAGATTATTACACACAATCATTTCTACTTCCAAAATGAATTATTCAACTATCTTGGATCGCTTCCTATCAATCACTCACCTTGTTCAGAAAGAAGCATATCAACTACCTGGCTCATTTTAGGCCTTGAATCTCTGTCTTCCTCTGCACATTGTAATGCCACTTTAACCATAGTTTCTGCCCTATCTTTCTCAATTTCTCCATTCTTGGAAGTATCCACAATTTCCTCAATCCATGAAACTCTTCTCTCAGAATCTTGTACTTTTCCCCTCACCCAATTTACCAAACCACCCTCGTTGTCATTTGCCAGGTTTCTTCCTGTTATTAACTCTAACAACACAATCCCATAGCTGTATACATCAACTTTTGACGTGATAGGTAGATTATATACCCACTCTGGAGCCATGTACCCTCTGGTTCCTCTGATTCTTGAAAATGTTGACCTCTCATTTCTATTTCTGTTATTTAATTTGGATAGGCCAAAATCTGCCACCTTTGGCCGGAAATTGGAGTCTAAAAGTATGTTCTGAGGCTTAACATCGCAGTGCAAAACCCACTCCAAACACTCTTCATGCAAGTAGGCAAGACCTTTTGCAGTACCTACTGCGATTTCAAACCTTTTCTGAAAATTAAGTTTATTTGCATACAAAAAGTTTGATAAAGATCCGAGTTCAAGGTACTCGTAAACCAAAAGCCGATGCTTACCTTCAGAGCAATAACCCCATGTCTCCATCAAATTCATGTGATTAAGTCTGCCGCTTATGCCTATTTCAGCAAGGAATTCAGCTTCTCCTTGTCGCGCTTCACTTAGGCATTTAATGGCTGCTATTCGGTTATCCGACAATGTGCCTTTGTAAACAACGCCACTGCTTCCTCGTCCGATTTCTTCATTGAATCCACGCGTTGCCTTCTTGAGCTCAGCATAGGTGAATCTCTTGAATCCTACTCCAACTTGAAGATAGCCTTGCGAGGTGGCATTAGTAGGCAGCCGGGTTGCGAAGAAGCAAATGAGCAAAATGATGATTTCAGTGACTCCAACTGCACCAGCACACCAGAACAAATACTTGATCCACTCATGTTCTTTTTTGTACACAACGTCAATTGGCGTAACACGGTCTCTACAGTTGAGTTCAAATTCTTTAACATGGTTCTTGTAAGTAGTTAGACTAGATTTTGATACTTTCATGTATGCCGGATAGTTAAAAGAAGGCGACTGGTATCCGTTAAACAATAATGTTTTCGGGAAGCAATTGTAAGTGCCACTCTGTGTCTCGTATTTATACTGAAATCCTTTGCAATCACAGTTTCTCACGCAAATATTTTTGCAGGACTCTATGGTGACATTATAGTATACTCCAATGTCATAGCCATAAAATTCAGCATCATGAAGTTGGAAGAAACCAATCGAATTATTGTCCGAACAAGACAGCTCGAAATTTTGTTCACATCCATAAGACCAATCTGTGTCATTTTTCATCTTGTGCCCAGGTAAACAAGCGCATCTCCTCCCTGACAGATTATGAACATAAGTACACAGACTGTTTGCTCCACAAACTCCATGGACTCTGCATGGTTGTACGTCAGCTTGCCATGTAACATCCCAATTTCCATGCTTCTGGTTCAGACTATACACCCGCAGGTTGCCATCAGGATCTAGTGTTAATCTTCTCTGAGGCCCCATACCGTAATCTGCAGTTAAAAAATTGAAGTTGTCTGAGGATGTGAAATTTCCCAAACGATCAAGTGTGGCTACCTTAGTAGTATTGTAGGTTGATCTCCCTACTTCCCAGCTGAGCAAAAATGGAGGTGGCCAAAATACACTGCTTATCTCAAGGCCTCTGTAAACAAGGCGGAGGACATTGTCGTTGTCAAAGAAGAGCTTGTAAAAACCAGAAGAGTAATTAGTTTGGCTTCTGTAAGAAAGTAGATTGCCATTTTCGGTCAGCAATTGTTGGGGAAGAAGTGTGTTTGTAGGTGAATCAAAACTTTGCCAAAGAGTTTTTTGCCGCAAAGTGGCAGTTAGAATAAGATTGCCAGAATCATGGAGTTGCAAGTGAAGGGGGGATCGGGAATTTGTGTTACTTGTCCAAACTGTAAACTGCCCACCATCTGTTAACACAAGATTGCCTGATTTCAGAAGGGAGAATTTTGTATATTTTCCATTAACAGGTTGATCTCTGTTGGCTATCCAAACTAAGGTGTGCTTTTCATTGGAAAATGGCATACTATACCATATAGCAAAAACATAAGCATTGATTCCAATGGGGTAAAATCCAGCTGTGAAAATGCCACTTGTTGATGAAACAAGAACATCTTGTGGTGAGGAGAGAGATGAACCTTGATTCAGAATATTGGTATTAGAAGATGATGAAAATGATATAAAGAAACCAAGAAAAAGAATGAAAATTTTCACTTCCATGATGAATTCTTGATTCATAGAAAATAAAATGATGAGTTCTTGATTGGTGACTTGAGGGTTGGGATTAGCTTTATAAGCCCCTTTTGCCTGGTTTTCAGTCAAGACTATATTGATGACTTAGTCCAATTGCCAGGAGTGGTTGTCAATAGTTTGATTTTTTAAGGAACTAGACAAAATTGAAGCTACACAGCACAACATTCTAAATACTTTATAAGTGTTATAAAATTAATATTTGATATCATTTTGTTAGAAGGATTTGATGAGTTTTAGACGAAATAAAGAAAATAAGATTTAAAATAGAAATTTAAGAGAACAAAATTTTACTCTCAAAACTCAGTCTCTATGATTCAGATTTTTTGTGATAATGAAATATTACAAATGAGCAATTTTTTTAATACTATATTTGATACATAAGAATTAATTGTTAATACATAAATTTAAACATTCATTAACATTCCTAGATACATGAATAGAGCTAAATACACTTATAATGACTATATGAGTCTAAATTAATATGAATATTAATTAATTGAGAATTAATATAACAAGAAATTAATACATGATTTTGTAGTATTTATTGTAGATTGAAAAATGAAAATAAGGAATTATTGAAATAATTAAATTGTAGTAGGGTTAAAATCGTCCGTGAAATGAATTTCACTTGATGTGATATTAAATATATTATAGATAATTGAGATTGATTTTTTTTTTTTAAATTTTAAAATGCTCTGAGTAATATCAATTCTACTTTAACAGTTTAACTCATAATTTCCAGTTAGAAAAGTCATATGATTATTTGGTCTGTTTGATTGCGACGATGGAATTTGGATGGAGAGAAAATGAATTTTAGGTAATTGAATTACCTAAAAATTGTTTTCCTGGGAATTGTAAATTATTGTGTTTGATTGGTATAATTTTTCACGTAGAAAATGTTGAAGTAAAAGTATTTTTTGGTGTTCGTTTGGCTTTGTTTTACATGAAAATTGTCAATTTAAGAGATATCCACTTCTATCATTATTCCTAAAATTTGTTTCCATTGCCAACAAAAAAAAAGGAAGGAAAAAACAATCAAAAAATCATCTATATTTTAGTGTTCGTTTGACTTATTTTTGCATGAAAATTATCAATTTCAGTGATATCCTCTTTTATAATTGTTCCTAGAATTTGTTCACATTGTCAACAATTAAAAAAAAACAAAAAGCAAAAAAAAAAGGTGGAAAATCACGCTTTAATGTGTTGTACCTAGAAATTCATGGAAAATCAATTCCCTGGAAAATTTTGGCAATCAAACAGGTCAAAAGTGGAAGTTGGAATTCGAATTCCAAGTTCCATGGAAAATTTCGTGCAATCAAACAGGGCTTTATTTAATCAATTCAAAATAAATAATATTTATTTGATTAAAATATCTTTGTCCATTAACTAAATTAGGTTCAATTAAATATAATCAGTGTTAGGCCCAGTTTGACAGCTTTGTTTTATTTATTTATTTATTTTATTATTATTATTATTATTATTATTATTATTATTATTATTATTATTATTATTTTGGTTTTTTTTCGTGGGAGGTTGGTGATGACTTTTTGAATAGTAACTTTTTGGAAAATGCATGATTAAAAATTAAATAAAAAAATGAATTTATTTATAGAATAATTTATTGTGAGAATGTGTGGATGATAACGAGTATGAAATTTGATTTGCTTTTATGCACTCACATTCTTTCATGTATATTTATGGCAAGAGTAAAATAATCATCCACGAGTAATGCCCCTATACAAGAAAACAAAATTAGATGGTTTGATTCGAGTTTTGATGGGCGGAAGGATGGAGTCCACCTGTGTGTTGGAGTGAGCATATATACATAAATGTTTACATGCTGATAATAGAATATATGTTCAAATACATCAATTTGTAACTTTAGTTATTTGTAACTTTAGTTGTACGATTATAATCAATACTATGAGTCATTCATCCTTCTTCTCTATCAATGTATCCAGTAGTTTCATGAGAAGGTGTATTAAGGTAAGATATTAATTTTACTCAAACCACTGGTTCTAATGTTGAAAGAAATATAACTTTTTCTCCTCAAGTAGTAAAATATCCCAAATTTATTTTACAAACTTTTATTAAAGTCCAAACTAATTTATTGACCAGGGATAGATAAAAACTTATGTAATTAGATTATGTTGAACGTTATATATTCTAATGGGGAATAGGTTTCCCTTTTCCTTTTTTTTCTTTTTTGTTAAATAAATGGTTGTAAAAGAATGAAAAGTTTTTGATTTACGTGTAATATCATTTTATTGAAAATTATGTGATTGAAAACAGGAGGAAGAAAATTTTAATTTAATTTGATGAGATATAATTGGGGCCAAACGGAAATATAATCTTGCTCTGTAGCTTCTAAGCATGTTGATTCTCTGACCCTGGCCGCCCCTGTCGCGTCTTCTTCTAAACAGCAGGGACTAAAACAAAAACACATATATTGTCGAAATAGAAGACTAAGAAGGCTGACTTGGGAAACAAACAAATTATAATCAGGACTTATTCACAAACACTAACCTTCCCGGTACGCAACTGTGTCACATATTCATTTACATCATAATATTTGTATATTACAATATCATATTGATATAAGTTAATGCTAATTTGGAGTGGAAGATAAATACCAGTTAATGCTAATTATATTTGAGGTCATTGCATCATTTCTCCAGCGTTTATATTTTGCACTTGTTTAACCACGCCGTCTCCAATATTTCTTCGCTTTCAAGATTTTCAAATATTGTTGACGGCGACTAGTTCTTGTAGCTCTAACAAGGAATGACAATCACGAGCACTTCGATACTCAAGTCAAATGGCGAAGAGAGCATTTAAGTATGGGAAAGACACAATATACGAGAATATTTGACTTGATTGGAATAGCACAATGATTATGTTCGAATTTTTTTATGCTCGTGACTAATATCAATTTTACTTTGAAAGATTAATTTGTAATTTCTAGTTAGAAAAGGCATATGATCATTTGTCTTCTTAATAAATGTATTTTATCGAGTTATTTTACAAACTTTTTACAATTTTAACTAGTTTCACTAATTCAATCAATTGAGGATAAATAATAATTTATTTAACTAGAATATCTTTATCCACTAATCAAATTAAGTTCTATTAAATATAATCTTATTTAATGTCTTTACCAGTTTCTAGTTATATTCATCCTTGTTGGGTCTTCTCCTCTAGAACAAAAAGGGAAAAACGTATATGCCCCCCAGGGCACATTCCAACTGACAAAGATGAGTGTGCTTCAAGGCTGGCAGTTCAGAGGTCATGAGTTCGATTCCTGGAAGGCTCTTGGAAGGTAGATATTCTCCTGGAAGGCAGGATTTATACTGGAAGGCAGGAGCTCTACTGGAAGGCAAGGTGCAAAGATGGGAAATACGACTTGCTTGGCACTTTGACAGATCAGTTGGGGGGCTCTTGAGCACTAGTCAGTTTGGGGCACAACCTGCAGTTTAACCTATCTGCAGCTTGAGGGGCCAAGGTATAGACTCCAGGATTTAATCACTGTAAGGTGGATACCTGGATATCAAAAAAAAAAGAAAAGGAAAAGACGTATGGTATTTAGCCTTCTTCAGTTTCTATGGTCCAAATTCAGGATAGAAAAGAAGTTTGGTGGATGATTTTATTTTCTAAACTTGCATTCAACTATTTTCTAGCTTGTAGATCCATTAGAAATATAAATCATACGGATGCACTCACATTCTTACATGTTAATCATGGCAAGAGTAAATAATCATCCAACGAGCAAACAGCCCCATAGAGGAAAACAAAATTAGATGGTTTGATTCAATTTCAGGATGGTGGGATGTCGGAGGAGTGCACCCGAGGGCTGGAGGGGCGGAGTGGGTATATATATATATATACATATATGAATGTTTACATGCCAATAGATTAGATAATGTTTACATGTCAATAGATTAGATGTTCATATACACCAATATGTAACTTTAGTTGTAAGTCATTCATTGTCATGTTATAATAAATACTATAAATTTGTTTCCCATTTTTTCTTCTTCTTTATCAATGTATCTCATAGTTTCATGCGAAGGTGTATTAAGGTAGGATATTAATTTACTCGAACCATTAGTTATAGTCTAAACTAAAAACTTTCGTAATTAGATTATGTTGAATAGTAGTATATTCTAATTTAGCCACTGTTTGACTTGGATTTTATTTTGAGTCAAAGTCGAACAATCAATATTAACCACATTTCAAAAATTTCAATAAAAATCTACTAAAAATTTAATTTTATTTATAACCATACACCCACTTTTAATCTTGTTATGCAGTTCTAAGCATATTGATCCTCTAACCGTGACCGTCCTTGTCACTTCTTCTTCCAAACAGTAAGGACAAAACCAGAACAAATCACATGTTGTCGAAATTATTAAACAGATCTTTCTAGAAGGAAAAATAATAAGTTATTGGAATAATAAAAGACCAAGAAGGTTGACTTGGGAAAAAAATAAATTATAATCTTACCCTGCTTGCACCAACTCTCACAGCCCCCTCACATGAGGGGGCCCCACATTCGTGAGAGCACTGTAAGTGAAATGTACACACACACATTTCCATTATAATCACGACTATTTCATAAAAACTAACGTGTCTGATACGCAAGTATATCACATATTCTTTTACATTAGAATATTTTTTATATCACAGCATAAAAGTTAAATTCCAATCTTGAGGACACTCACGGTCCCCCCTAGAGTATCATGAGGGAGGTGAATCGCGGAATGTACTCCAACAGGCTAGGAAACAAGAATTTGCCCGTATACTAGTGCTCACAAAGAGTTCGATTCTATTTCTCAGGAATCGAACTCTCACACTGCGACTGCCAACAAGGTTAAGACTATCTCACTTCTGTCCATTTATATCACAACATAGATATTAATATAATGCCAATTTGAAGGTCCACTCCAATATTTGAGAAAATTGCATATTTTCATAGCTTTGTTATTTTGCACTTCGGTTTTGATTTTTATTTTTGATGACGCCATCTCCAACATTTCATTTATTTCAAGCGTGTTGTTGACCTCAAAATTCGAAAGGATCACGTAGTCAATAGAACTCAACTCC